GATGAAGGAATTATGTTTGTAGATTTGACGAAGAAATTGGAGAAGAACATGTTTTGGAGAGCAGGAAACATTTTGGAGGCTTCACGGTCGACCACGAACTTTGCGGAGGTCGACCATTAACGTGCACAAGACAAGGTGGTCTCTGGATTTTTGACGGTCGACTGCGACAACATGTCTGGTCGACCGCGGACCTTGTAATCAATTTACGTGGTTTCTGTCGTTCTGCCTTGTTGACCGCGACGTCAAGTACGGTCGACCGCGAGTCGGATTTGGGTCTGTTTTGGTTTCCTGTTCTGTTTGGGATTTGTGTTTGGTATAAATACCAACACACATTTTAGGGTTTCTTTGGGATTGTTTTTGGGCTTATTGGAGCACAGAAAAGATATATCTTTCTAAGCTATTGGTTAGAGTTATTGTTTGAGAGATTGAGAACTTTGTTGATGAGATTAGTTGGTTTGTTTTGAGTGATTTGTAATCTCAGTTTGTACTCTCCTTCTCTATTAGGAAAAACGCATCCCATTCTTGCCCCGTAGACGTAGGCAACTTGCCAAACCACGTAAAAATTAATTGTTTGTGTTTATGTTGTTATTTTGCATTGTTTGGCTTTCTCTCTCGGCGTTTGGTTTGGTTCCTCGAAGCATAACGATTGGTGGCTTCCGCGCACAACAAGTGGTATCAGAGCTTTGACTACGTTTGGGTTAGGTGGAGGAGTAGATCACTGTGAAAGTTCGTCTAGGGCTTTAGTTGGTGATAAATGTGGGATTTTTTCTATGTAGGCGTATAAAATTGCCTATAGGTCCCTTAGCACAGCTCGGCACAAACCGACGAACCAACGAGGCAACGAGGTTGACGAATCGCACGCAAGCAACGGAATACATCCATTCGCGCGTGGAATCAAGCCAAGTGTTCGGAAAGTCAACGAGTCATCCAACCAAGGGCAGACTCGGACGAATCACGATCGAATCAAGATCAGTTTCAGACTCGAACTCAGAAGTGGATTTACTGCCAAATCAGGAATCGGATTTATTGCTAAATCAGATCAACAAATCAGAGTCTAAGTCAACCAAATCACGGATTGAACCGAAAATGCAAAACGGCGAAACCCAACGCCTAAGGGGGGCTCGGCCAAAACCGAGCCACCCATGGGTGGCTCGGCCCAGTGCCGGCTACCCATAGGTGGCCGACCCAGATCTGTGCGCGGGCACAGTTCAGAGAGCCTATAAATAGGCCCCCGTTGGTTCATTTGAAAAGGTTGGATTTTTTGGAGGCGAAGCCCTGCTGGATTGAAGACTCAGATCTAAAAAAGATCCAAGCTTTGGGACTTCGAGGACTTGTTCATCCAGATCTGGTGCTCGGCGATCGTCAACGCCAAATAAGGCAAGAGTTCGAGAGGAACCGGACTCCGGATCTAAGCTTGGTCTTAGATCCCGAGACTTGGATGATTGTTTCCTTGGGTGAATCAATCCCCCCGGCTATTATTTCCTTGGTGAAATAATACCCGTCATACTGCGTAGATCCGACTGGATCTAGATCTCGCGGTGGTCCACGGATAAACCCCGGCGCAGGCGAAGAACCCACAAAGCGAGCGACCGCAAAACAGGAGCTCGTGATTCGTTTGTTCAAAAGGAGAAAGTTGTAATCTTTTTTTTATTTTCTTTGATTTTGTTATAACCGGATCTAAAAAAGACCGGATCTTTTGTAACTCAAAAAGCTATTATTAAAGATGACAATGGAATCAATTACAAAGAAAGACACGATTTTTTCCGCGAACAATCTGGCGACCACAGTGGGAGCCGCCGATCTCGCTGCCGAGAT